AACTATAAATCCCAGCAACTACAACTCCCAAATGACAAAATCAGGTTTTTTTGAGTGAAGGACATACATTGGATTGTTAGGTGTCTTGTGTCCAAATTTGGTGCCAATTTGTCCAGTGGTCTTTGAGTTCTGTTAATCCCACAAACGAACATTACATTGTTATTTATATAGATTAAATGTAATATTACTAATAATATTACACTATAATGTTATAGTACAATGTAATATATAATATTAATATTGTGCTATCGTAATAATATAATATATTGTATTTACTTTTTACTTGTAAGCCGCTCTGAGTCCCCTTCGGGGTGAGAAGGGCGGCATATAAATGTCGTAAATAAATAAATAAATAAATAAATAATTTTGTGCATGAAACAAACATTTAGTTATTTATTTATTTAATAACCAGCACTTTGTATTTGTATGTGGTGCTGAAGGAAAGTTCTGAGAGTGCCTTGGACTGAGAGAAGATCCATCCAGTCCATACTTCAGGAAATAAGTACTTTGGCCACATAATGAGAAGAAAGAAAAGCTTAGAGAAGACAATTATGCTGGAGAAAATGGAAGGAAAAAGGAAGAGGTGCCGACCAAGGGCAAGATGGTCCCTCATCACCACCATCTGGGTCCGATCCTTCAGGAAAGATCGCAGCCACTGTAAAGCAGTGCCCCCTAATCCCATCCCGGAGAGCTGGCTCAGAAGGATACCATGGTTGATGGTATGGAAAGCCTCTGAAAGGTCCAGGAGAACCAACAAGGACACATTCCCCATGTCTAGCTCTCTTCATAGATCATCCACCAAAGTTCCATAGCCAGACCTGAAACTAGATTAAAATGGATCCAGACAATCGGTTTCATCCAAGAAACTTATACATAACATGTTAAATAATTTAAAATAATACTAATATATTATGATTAATATATTAGTATTATTATATTGCAATATTACTATTATATATTATTATATTGTATTATTATTAGTATTATATTGTATTACATTATAATATTACTCATGTATATAGAATATATGGTATTATTAGCCTAGCACAATATTAGTATTATATATTATATTGTACTAATCCACTATACTGCAATATCGTTGGTAATATTAGATGTAATATATAATACACAATTACTATATTGTATCTGTCAAGGGTGCTTTGAATGCGATTTTCCTGCTTCTTAGCAGGGGGTTGGACTGGATGGCCCATGAGGTCTCTTCCAACTCTGATTCTATGATTATATAATACTATATTATAATGCCACAATATATATAATACACTACCAGTATATTATACTATTAGTATTCTATAATATATTGTACCATATCATAAGTTGTGTACATTAAACCATCAGAAAGCAAAAGGGCCATTATCTCAGCCACCCCTGTGCACAGTTTTGGATTTTGGAATTCCAGATAAGAGATGCTTAACCTGTAGTGCTATTTATCTGTGCATCTTCTAGTACAGCCATCCCTCTACATTTGCAGTTTTGACTTTTGTGGATTTAAATAGTCACAGATTTAATTCAAAAATCCTCTGTAGTAATCTCTAGGTCCTCCAATATGGCTCTGTGGTCAAATTCCTCCTGTCATGCTGGAGGAGCTAGAGATGTATAGAGTGAACAGGAATCAGTATATCATCCAGTGTGGTTCTATGGTCAGCCAGAGACATATTGGAAGACCTAAAAATTCCTGGAGAGAATCTCGGGTAAAAAAACCCCCAGCAATTTTATTATTTTCGGACTCTTTTTCATTGGGGGCACAGGGCCCCTTTTAATTAGGGCCCTGTGCCTCTAACCCCAGCGAAAATGGAGGGGTGACTGTAGTGAATTTCACAGATCCTGTGTAAGCAATCCTGTTTTTGAAAATCTTCACTGGTGGGAATTATATAGCTTGCATATGTAGGACTAATCGCAAATTTAGAGAGAAAAAGATGCCTTGCAATGGTTTGCGTGCAACTGCTTTTAAGAAATAAACATGTGTTTATTGTTATATACGCTATATGGATGATGTTGTGGGATGGGAGGGGGATATATATAGTTTTGGGAATATATGATGTACGAAGGCAATTGTATGTTAAATGTTTTGAAATAAATAAAAATTGAAAAAATTGAAAATAAATAAATGTGTGTTTTGACCAAGCTGTAATGAAGAATGAAAAAGGCTTTCACAATGAGCAGCTGATCCCTTTGTGAGTTTGTGCTGATAGCCTTTGAAGCAATATGTTTTGAACATATATGAACCAGTATTCATGATTATTTAAGAGTTTGTATCATTAAAATTTATCTTAATTAAAAAAACTATATTCTTCTATGATTTTTAATGAAAATGATTTAATTTCAAATGGATGGCATGCACCATTCAGAGATGGTACATGTTAAGATCCATTTATTTTAGTGAAATATTCAATTATGTGCTTAACACTCCCACTGATATTCCATTAATTCTGAGGAGTGCATATATAATTATGTTTTTGGGTTGTTTACCTCTAAATTAGGCTGTTCAATCAGTGGCTATTGGATCAGCTCAAATGCACAGGCCACAATCTTACAGATGCTTGGGGTAAAGGCCATTGAGGACGGTGCATACTTTTGAGATTGCACTGATAGAGTGAACAGCTGAACTGGAGGTGGGAGGAAAATTTCTGCATGCCTCTTAGTCAAAGCTTTTGTTTAAAATGGATCATAAAACTGGTTATGGAACTTTTTATGACAGACTCAAAGTTGGCAGTATTGTAACTCAAGCTTGGATTAAAATGAATTTTTGAAAACATTATTTAAAAAATGTTCTGCTAAAACTCAAATTACTTCAGTATAACTTCACAAAGCCCAATGACTGTGGCAAAAAGTGTGTACTTTTCCACAGTTGTAAAATATTTATACTTCATGCTGAAAGCACTGTTGTTGAGATTTCTGGCTATACCACACTTCATGATTATTTTGAGTAGCACTTTGCCAGTCTTTTTTCTCGGAATGGTTCAGTTCTGTCATACTTTATTTCTTGGCATATAATAGAGTTATTGCATTTGGTTTTCATTCTGTCCTAAATTATATACTTGTTTATAATTATTCAGACATTGTTTCTCTGTCCTAAATTATATGCTTGTTTCATTATTCAAACATATGTGGAGTTAGAAAACAAAGTTTTCTTTGGATTTAGGGTCGTCCGTTTAAATAAATAAAGGTACACATGCAAACTTGGGCACACCTCTAACAGTTCACTGGATCTTAGGGGTATGAATAGGCCCCAGTAGCAATCCAGTTCTGCCACTTCTCCATCATGGCTTGTTACAGAACATCATTTGTAGAGAAATTAACTGCATATATTTCAGCAAAACCACATTCTATATTTTATTAGTGGACCTCAGTGTTTCTGATGCGAAATATATTCAACATATCTTGTGGAAGATCCAACCAACTGACAATGTTAAAGAAAATCTATTCTATCCCAGATGCTTATCTAGTATTGCTGGGTTTCTCCACAATCAAAACCTTAATTTCTGGTTTTTGATTTCTATATTCAGATCTCAAATCTGTGTTGAATATTTTACAGAAGCATTCTTGTTTCTTGCGTTCTTTATTCTAATGTAACATTTTTTACAATCAGTTTCCAGATGTCCAGTAATCATGTCCAGTAATGACATGATATAATGAGTAAACAGATATATTTTTTTAAAAAGTAACATCTGTGGTTACATTCTTGTATATCATTGTGCATTCTTTTGACCTTTGAAATAGCATTTCAGTAATACATGCTCTTACATGAATGGTATTAATGATAAACAGAAGACTTATTTTTTCAACCTTAGGAGCAGAACTGATGCAAGGCTGTTTAATCAAATATTTGATTGTAGTTGAAGGTATTAAATTTGGGAAACAATAATTTTGATGAAGCTCCAGAACAGCTGAAGTACCTCATATCTCTGGAGAAGCTTCATTTGTTCGGAAATAAGATCTGCAGAATATCACCCTCTATATTTGGTAAGATAAAATAATATCCTGCTCCTTATAAAATATAATATGTAATTTAGCATACATGAGTAAGGTTGTTAAAGAATGACTAGACAGTTAATAAGTGCACATGGCGTAGTGGTTTGAGGATTTGATGGTGACTTTGGAGACCATAGTTCGAAGCCCCACCCAGCCCATGAAATCTGCTAAGAGACTTTGGGAAAGTCACACTCTTTCAGCCTCAGAAGAAGGCAAAGGCAAATGACCTTTGAACAAATTTTGCCACTAAAACCCCATGATAGGTTCAACTTAGGATCACTGTAAGTCAGAATTGACTTGCACACATCAATTTATTGATCATATAATTAAAAAAAAACCATAAACCTGTTCTTATTTACTAATCTGTACTTCTACCCAGCCAAATGTGCATAGCATTGCAGTCTAAGTGAATTTGTCAAATTGCAAAAATATGTATATTAGTAAAACATGCAAATGAACAATCGGAGAGTTGGAAGAGATCACAAAGGTATCCTGCCCAAGTCTCTGACACGCAGGATTGCACAATGATAGATGGCCATCGAATCTCTTCTTTAAAAGTCCCCAAAAAAGGAGATTCCACCACATATATCCCACTGTTGAACAGTTACTAACATATATAATACACATATAACAGCAAGCATGTTTTTTTTTTTGTGAGGGCCCGGGGGGTGGGGGTGGGGGGTGGGATCTGATGTGAGAAAAGTGAATGGTTCTTCTAAGGTGTTTCCCTTCTTTGGATTCCTAAGAAACCAAATTGTAAAAAGTTAAGAAAATGTTTGGATGATAGAATTTCCCACTTATTCATAGGGACTGCCATTCAAATAAACACACTTGTTACGGAATTATATTACAGTTCACACTATCTTTAGCTATTTATTTTTTTAGGATTCCAGGACATTGTTTTCTATCTGCATTCCTTCTTGTGGTTTTTGACAACACTATGTCTTTTACTTGAAACTTTTTATCAAGTTACTACACTTGATAAAAGCAAAAGAGATGACAAAATGTATATAAAGATATAACCAGGTAAAAAGTCAGAGGGCATTACAAAAATATAAAAAGATACAACAAAATCTGTTAGATGGTGTACTGCAGAACAGAGGCATCAAACTCATTTTCACTGAGGGCCACATCAGCTTTACAGTTGCCTTCAAAGAGCTGGTTGTAATTGTAAGACTAGAAATATAACTATGTTGCCCTGGCATTGAAAGCCTTGTAGGACACATAAAATAACGTGGTGGGCCGGATTCAGACTGTGGGCCTTGCATTTGACACATGTACTATAGATTATACCATAATATACATCCATCTTTTTATAGATGGATTGCAGAATTTGGTACTCCTCAATCTGAACAACAACCGGCTCACTTATCTTCCTCCAGAGATTCAAAGGTAATCTTAGTGACTTGGTCTGGAGTTGCACTGGGATACGTTTTATTAAATAAGTAGATTTTAATAACTAGCATGTATAATTATTTCAAAACTATATCCTCTCTTGGAGATCCTTTGGAATAGTTCATTTTACGTGCAATGGGACAGTTTTTCAGATGCATATATTTTGAAGATCTGTGATTTCATTGGCATGAGTAGTTCGTCCACCAATGAAAATCATTGTAATGCTATACTGTCATTGACTTCATGGCTTCCATGACCATTCATTACCTGTTAACCAACTTTTGTTTAATATTCCCTTAGTGAGGCTGGTCTTCAGAAAGCAGAATTGCAGTCTGTACACACAACTTATCAGCATGTTAAAGCCTGCTAGAGCATGTGTTCTGCTAGGATTGCTTTCTATAGATAAGGTTATTTCTATGCCTTAATAACATATCAGATTGTTACTGTGCTAAGCAACCTGTCCATATAATGAACTAGGATTCATGAGTTATTGACCTCATAATTACCCTAAGCCTTAGAGACTATAGTACCAGAAAAAGAAATAAAGCTCAATTCAGTTTCAGTTTTCTCACACACTTATATTTTGCCAAGACTCACTAGGCATGCTAGACAGTTCCACTGCTTCTCTTTTGCCCAAATCAAGACTGCACTAAGGAAATATGAGTCACCATATATTGTATTATAATTACATATGTACATACAGAAGCCTTTGCTGTTTTGACATATTTCTCAGAAATATGGAATCATAGAGTTGGAAGAGACCACATAGGCCATCTAGTCCAACCCCCTGCCATGGAGGAAAAGCACAATCAAAGTACCCCCAACAGATGGCCATCCAGTCTCTCTTTAAAAGCCTCCAAGAAAGGAGCTTCCACCAAACTCCGAGGCAGAGAGTTTCACTGCTGAACAGCTCTGACAGTCAAGAAGTTACTCCTAATGTTCAGGTGGAATCTCCTTTCCTGTAATTTGAACCTATTGGTCCGAGTCCTTCCACACAGCCATATAACCCAGAATATCAAGGCATATCATCCAAAATATCTGGGTTATCTGAGTCTACACTGCCATATAGGTCAGTTCAATGTGGATTTTATACAGCTGTGTTGAAGGGACCATTGTCTCCAAGGCAGCAGAAAACAAGCTTGCTCCCTCTTCCTTGTGCCATCCTTTCACATATCATATCGTGAATGGTTCACCTTTTAAAGGGTTTAGGTGCTTACCATTCTAGGAAGAGAAAGTCAGGGCCTACTTATTTCCTCTGTGATATAAATGGTGACTAGGCATCTTACCACTATTGTATTTGATGCTTCTCATGTATAAGGCCAGGCTAGCTCTGTCCAATAGCCACATACAGATAAACACTACTGACATAATCTATATGCAAGTAATATATTCTAGTACATTTCATAACTATCTGATGTGAAAGAATGCTTATCCGCCCCGCTCCAAAAGGCCCAGGACCACTGCCATATCCCTATTGGTTACAGATTTTTCTTTATTTCCTGGAAACCTGCAGCCAATGGCTCATGGGCCCGCACAATTCAGGAACCACCACTGTGAGTAGTGCTGATACAGACTATTGTTAGTATAAATATAGAAACCGGTATCTTGAAATATTTTTTTTCCCCCATAGGCTTCAGAATCTTGAATGTATGAGTTTAGACAATAACCAACTGAGAACTCTTCCCAAAGAATTCTGCTGTCTCAGAAAGCTGCGTGAACTCCATTTGTCCCACAATTCTATCACTGCCATCCCTGAAGACATTGAATACCTAACAAAACTCAAAATCCTGATTTTGTCAAGAAATCAAGTAGCAAACCTCCCTGATGTAAGTGTATACTCTGGAAAAGAATGAAGCCTTAAAAGCATTGTAGATATGTTGATTCTAGAGTGAATTTTATTTTATGCTTCATTAAGCTCATCTTTTTGAATTGATGGTAAATGTTCTAATATGGTATATATACAAGGGAGTTATTAAAAATAAGCTTTTAGAAATATCACATGCATGAGATGACCTGTAGAATGAGTTTTTGTGCAGATCAGGTTGTTTTCAGGCAAAGCTTTTAGTGCACTCACTCATCCACAGAATAGTATGGGGGTTTCAGATATCCTTGTCTTCAATTTGCAGACCTCCCATATTTTCCAATGGCTGCTTCTATCTGTTTTAGTTTTATTCAAAAACTCCATCATTGAAAAAATAGTTGCTCTCTCAATAGCCCTAAAAACAAATAGTAAGAATGATTTAGTATCTGGTTCTCCTTATAATTAATTTTTATCTGCAATCATTACTATTTTCTAGCTCTTTTTCTATTTAGGGATGTAAAACTGTAACGCTGTACATATTACTTGGGAACAATGAACTCAGCACAACTTACTTCTGAGTATATACGCTTAAGATCACACTATAAATAATGTCTCTCGTTGTTTTTAATACACCAAAATGCCTTTATTATCTTCAACTAGGGACTTTGTAAAATGAAGAGGCTGAGAATTCTAGATGTAGCAGGAAACAACATTCAGATTTTCCCCACAGACGTAAGTAAAAATATTAAATCCTTTTGGTGGAATAATCTGTGAACTGTGGAAATCAGTGAAATTAAATTCATAAATATGAAGTACAAACTTATTCTTAGGAATAGCTTTATATTGGTTATATAGTATTCCTCAGCTGAAATGCCTGGTACCAGAACTGTTTTGGATTTAGGGTTTTCCCCTCAGATTTTTGAATACTGGTATCTGCATTGAGACATCTGTAATAAGACATCTTAGAGATGGGGTGTAAGTCTAAATACAAAATGAGTTTATGTTTCATATATCTTTATATGCACCTTATATGCATTATATTTATTATATGAATTATATTTATATAATTTTATACAATATTTTGATCATTTTGTGCAGGAAACAAACGTTATGTACATCTCAGAAAGCAAAGGTGTCACTATTTCAGCCACCCACGTGGAGTATTTCAGATTGTGGACTTCTGCAAAAGGGACACTCAACCTGTATCTTTAAAAACAAATGTAATAATAATAATAATAATAATAATAATAATAATAATAATAATAATAACAACACTTTATTTGTACCCCTCTACTATCTCCCTWAGGGACTCGGTGCAGCTTACATGAGGCCAAGCCCGCAATACATCAATAAACAGAACATCAATAAAATAAAATATCAATAAACAAAACAATGCAATATAAATCATAATCACATGAACAAAATAGACAAAAGCAATCAACAGTAACATATAAACGTCTAAAACCAAAGGCCGGGCCAAATGTGATAGATTAAAATTAAAAAATAGTGCTGATGTGAACCAGGTAGGATATAATTGGGATAGGATTTTTAGAGAGAATYAGGGAATGCAGTCAATRRTAAGGCAGTAGTAAAGTGCATTTTGAGGACATAATGCTGAGAGTTTTCCTTATTCTGGGAAGGCACACTGGAACAACCACGTTTTCAAGCTCCTCTTAAAGACAAAGTTGGGGCATGTCTGATGTCTCTGGGAAGTGAGTTCCAGAGTCGGGGGGCCACCACCGAGAAGGCCCTCTCCCTCGTCCCCACCAATCGCGCCTGTGAAAGATTCGTATACAGAGATGCGGTTTACCACATTCCTCTAACAGTTGAGAGTTAACTTTCTAGAACATAGCAAGATCACATCTTAGCTGACATACTTTGAGCTGTAAAAAAAGAGAAACAGATACATATAATAATATATAGCTTTTAAAATGCTGAGTGAATCAAACAATGAAATCTATCAGAGTTTGGTCTGCCTCTAATTAAGATACCAAATGAAAAAAGAATACACAATTCTTCATTTGGCTATTAGGAACACATACCAAATAGTGAAATGCCTCCATCCTGACCTTTCACTTTAACCTAAGTTCATGCATACCTCTGTACTCAGAGGTCTGGACGTGACAAAATCCAGAACAATTTGTCTGTTTTTCTAGCCTGAGCCAATGTAAGTGGAACATTGAAAACCACTTAAAACGAAGTGTTGGCTCTTTTCTGACAAGTAGGACTTAATGCAAGTGTCATAACTCTTTTCATTACTCCATTGAATATATATGTTAAGTTTCATGTAGCTGGCACAGGATAAATATTGGAAAAGGGTTGAACTCCCTTTCCATTTAAAAAGATCACATAAACATTTATTATTCTGCATAGCTGATTTGTAATTGTCTGCCATGTTGTTGTAAGATTATTTGTTTTAAGCATGTATTTTAATCTTGAGATAAATTTAGGTGAAATGTAGAAAATGTTTCAAGCTTATAACTAACATGGTATGAAGAACAAAACATACGAGGAAAAGGATTTAGGCTTGCTCAGCTTGGGGGGCATTATTGTACCATTTAAAATACCTGAAAGGTTGTCACAGAAGAGGTAACAGGCCTGTTTTTCTGCTGCCATAGAAAGTAGGACCCTGTTTAATGATTCAAAGTTACATGAGAGTAAATTTCAATTCAATATTAGAAGAAACTTCTTGATAGTAAAAGTGGTTCGGAAATGGAACCAGTTGCCTAGTGAGGTAGTATGATTCCTACTTTGGAAGTCTTTAAGAAGAGTCGGGATAACTACCTTCTTCTTACTGTATGTTGTTATCTGGAGATCATGCATAGAACATGGGGTTGGTGTCAATGGCCTAAGAGGCCCTTTGCAGCTTTGTGATTTTATGCTTTTATGATGCTAAACTCAGTACACAGAAATGCTTATAGAGTTTTGAGCAGCCTTTTTGAACACGTTTGCAATTACATTAGTGGTCACTTGAGGGCAGTACTAAATTATTTCACAAGGCTCAATTCATTCTCCCATAGTGTATTACAGACAATGTAGGCAGAAATGTTCACTCAAGAACAAATTTTCCTAATATTCTAACCCTATCCTTTTTACCTATATATCTATAAGAATAAGTCTTAATAAAAGTTATTTAAATAAGAACAAATTTTCTGCAATTTTCAAACTTGTTGCCTGGTGAAGCGATACTGAAGGTTACCTGAGGAATAGTTTGCCACCATAAAACAATTGTGTCTGGTAGGTATGATGGTTGTAAGTAAATGGTGCTTCTTTTAGCAGCGTGGGCAACATATATATGTGCTCAGATGTGTTCAGATGTTTGTAATAAGTCACCTGTAGCAGTATAGGAAATACCCTTTTAAACATCAGCATTGTGTGTATTTGTATGTATTGTGAAGAGCTGTTTTTAATGATTTAGGTCCCTTCCAGACAGGCCCCAAAACGTGGGCCTTTACCAGAGAGAATTAATTAGATACCCCATTAGACCTTGGTCTTCCTGAAAGGTTTCCCCTTGACATTCAGTCTAGTTGTGACTGATTCTGAGGGGTGGTGTTCATCTCCATTTCTAAGCTGAAGAGCCAGAGTTGTCTAGAGATGCCTGCAAGCTCATGTGGTCAGCATGATTGTGTGGAACACTGTTACTTTCCCACCGGAGTGGTACCTATTGATCTACTCACATTTGCATGTTATCCAACTGCTAGGTTGACAGAAGCTGGGGTTAACAGCGGGAGCTCACTCCACTCCCTGGATTCAAACTGCCGACCTTTGGTTGGCAAGTTCAGCAGCTCAGCAGTTTAACCCGCTGTAGTCAGGGGCTCCTATGTGTATAGTACAAATACAGATTCCTGGTCTTCTGACATTGGACGTGTTTTTTCAAGAACCGTTTGTTCCTATGAACCAACTAAAGTCAAGTACTTTTAAACTCCATAGTTTTTAGTGGAGGAACTTACTGCATGATTAAATCTTTCCCACTGAAATAAGCAAGCTTTGATTTTTTTTAATGTGACTAAATTGTTTTGTATTACTAATGTTTTATATCCTTAATACATTTTCATGATTGTCTCATTTTTATATGAAACCTGTGCTAGCTATAGAAATTACTGATCTGTTCTACACTATATTTTATGAGAGTGAAATCATCTTTTGACGTTTCTTGTAAAGGAGATTTTTGGATTGCACTTCGGATTCTGTCATGGTTATAATTTTGAAAATATTGTAAGAAACTTAGATATTTTTTCAGTGATTGTTGCAAACTATGTGACCCAGAATATAATTACCTATTCACTCATCTTACCCTGGAGCTATGAACTGTTTAATGTTGCAAAATCTCAAGATTCTATTGATGGAAAATTATAAGCTGTTTTACAGATAGACCAGCTGCACCAAATCCTTTGTGTATTTCTTACAGGTGTTCATAGCCTCCTAGCTTTCTTTACGTTGGATATTTGTTTATAAAATTTTAGGAGATTGCCTGCCTTCATATACTTTCTTTAATAACCATGACCTCAAGATTGATTTTCCTAATAATCATGGAGATAAATTAGCTTAGCTGATTTAAGAAAACCTCAGGATATCAAAGCAAACTTTATGTAGTTGTAGCATAACTAAGTCAAACATCTTAGAATTTTATGTTCATCCTGTCTTCCCTTTTAATGAATTTATGATAAAATTAATTGGTATACATTTGACAGTTAAAAGTAGTTGCATCCCAAAATGTGTGCAAGAGAATAATACATGCTTTAAAATAAGGTAAATGTAAAGGTTTCCCTGACATTAAGTCTAGTCTGGAAGGGTGGTGCTCACCTCCATTTCTAAGCCGAAGTGCCGGCGTTGTCCGTAGACACCTGCAAGGTCATGTAGCCATGACTGCATGGAGCGGCGTCACTTTGATCTGCTCACATTTAAAAGTTTTTGAACTGCTAGGTTGGCAGAAGCTGGACCTAACAGCGGAGGCTTACCCTGTTCTCTGGATTCGAACCACTAACCTTTCAGTCAGTGTGTTCAGCAGCTCAGCAGTTTAACCCACTGAGCTACCAAGAGTTTAATTCAAGAGTTTTAAATAAGAAATGTTCACAGAATTTCTATGAACTTATGAAGCAAAAAATGTAATCTTGGATAGTTTTCCATTGAACAACATACAGTGATAGGTTCTGGCATTATGTATAATGCCAGAAAGTTTTGTTGTCAAAATTTTCACCCCCTCCCCCTGTGTCTCTTTCGTCTATGGGACATAAAACTGTGGGGAGTATAAGGAAATATTTTGCAGGGAGTTAGATTTAGCACTTGGAATCTAGTTGGTGATTCTTATCATGGATAGACTATCTCTAGAGGTTTCCATGATTATCTTAACATATAAAAGCAACATAATTTGAGCTACTGAGTTGCATTAGTCCTATAAAGAAATATATATGAAAGAATGTCCAACACAATATAGTACGTGTTCTGATCATGTGATATTTTAGTACTCTCAGTATTTCATCATACACATGTCAAGCTGAAAGGAAATTGCTTGCAAAATATCTGTTGTTTATTCATTCAGTCACTTCCAACTCTTCGTGACCTCATGGACGAACCCACGCCAGAGCTCCCTATCGGCCGTCACCACCCCCAGCTCCTTCAGAGTCAAGCCAGTCACTTCAAGGATACCATCTATCCATCTTGTTTGGCCCCTCTTCCTTTTTCCTTCCACTTTTCCAAGCATCACTGTCTTCTCATGATGTGGCCAAAGTACTTCATCTTTGCCTCTAATATTCTTCCCTCCGATGAGCAGTCAGGCTTTATTTCCTGAAGTATGGACTGGTTGGATCTTCTTGCAAAATGTATCTAGATATACAAAATTTAAGAAGACCATCTTTTAAAATATATTATTAACATTGAAATGTTAGGTTTTGACCTAAGACAGTTGCATAGGGCATAGCCATGGGGTGATTCTCAACTCACAGGTTGAGAATCACTGCCTTAGTAGGGGAAGAATTCCATAGCTTTGATGCTACAACAGAGAAGGCCTTCTTGTGGATTCTTCCCATTTGATCTTCAAACATTGGAAGGACACACAATAAAACACATCCACAGCTAACATGAGTAAAGAGGGAGCCTGATATGGAAGATTGTTCTTGACTTTTTGGATAATTCTTGATGTCTTTAGTCAACATATCTTAATAAATGTGTTCATACGTGTATGCATTAGGGAGTATGGGAGAAAGAAATCCATTCCGCTCTTTTGATCAGTGCTGACTAAATACAACTGCAAACATGTCATGTAGTAAACATTAAAACATTGAGACATTAATCATTCTTCTTCTTATACCAAGAATGTCTTTGTATTATTTGAATAGATGGAAAATCTTGAGCTTGAAGAACTTTATTGTGAAGATAATCCATTGCTTGAGAAGAATCCAGTTAGTGCCATACAAGAAGAGGACATTTTGACTCTTAAGGTTACTAATCACAAAATATTCCTTTAAGATACGTTACTAATGTGGTACAAAATAATAAATAATGGCTAGCATAGTTCATTTAAAAAGTAATACTTCAAGCTCCCTCTGAAACCCTAGATGACTTTTATCAGTGGGAGTTGATGATACGGGGCTAAAAATGGCAATAGAAGGCTTTGATATAAAAGAGGTTTCTGGATTCCCAATAATCCTGGTTTTGGTTTGAGGCAATGAGGCCACAGGTTATAAATTAAACTCAAAATGTAAAACAAACTAAAACCCCAAATACTAGATTTTAAAAAACAAAATATCATTGAAAATCCAAATTCTACAAAACAATCCTGTTCGAAATACGGCTTGCATGTATGTGTGTATGTGTGTATGTATGTGTGTATGTGTGTTTTTATTTCTTTATTTAATGCATGAACCTCAGCAAACCATTCATAATTACAAAATAAGTATTTATTCTGGAAACACTCAGAATTTTAACAATGTAAATCCCCTCCTCCCCACAAGACAAGATTCTTGCAAAAAGATTTGCTATTTAAATATTAAGTCGAGGTAATAATTTTACAGTGCTCAGATTGTGCAAAGACACTATTCACAGTTAAAATAACATAGTTTTAAAATTGATTATGTTATCCAAATGTGTATTCAAATACCCTTTAATTCCAGCTGACTGCAAGTGGGTAGAAAACTCTCGGTTGTTTCATAGAAACATAAACACTATATAAACAAAAGACAAAGCTTGCAGGCAATTTCTAAATGTATTTTAGAAACATGATACTTAATACATGGGGCCTAAACCAGAAGCCTCATGAGCAAATGCTGGCAGCTAGTGTACAACTGTGTCTAACACAGGCACCACAGCCTTCTACAGACACTGTAGGGAAAGGCATGCACCACTGTTTCCTATGGTTTATAGGCAGTGTGACACATTTGGGAAGGCTAGCCCTATTATTGTACTAGAACATTTGACTTCTGCTTTGCCTGATTAACAGAATGGTATCTTCTGCTTTCTTATGCTGGCTATAGAGGTTAATAACAATTTTCTATACAAAGCTAGTAAAGACCAGGATGACTGATGCCCATGATGGGTTTCCAAGTGAATGTAACCAGCCAGGAAGTTAAATCTTCGTGTTTCCAACCTATGATATAAGGAAAATACCTTCACTTTGCATTTCACCTTTTTATTGTGAAATTGTTCAGAATTCATCCATTGTGCCTTTTGATACTGAAACATGAAGGATCCCTTTTTGCATTGCACACTGCAAAGTCTAGCACCTTCTTTGCTCTTTATTTGGCAAATTATAACTCTTCACCTCTACAGTTTCTGGCTTCTTCTCTGTTGGAAAATAATAGTCTGCCGGCCCATTAGAAATCTACATACAAACATTTAATCACCTAGTACTAAACCAACATGGCAGTAGGTATTTTCTTTTTTGTAAATATTTATGGTAAAATATAACATCATTGTTTCAGCTATCAGTGTTCTTGCCATTTTGTTGCAGTGCAATTTAAAATCTGCCATGTACACATCACTATAACTTTGCAACAACAACAATAACAAAATAATGTATTTCTTGGTTTTGGAAGGATGGGCACATTCGAACTTGCATGAGAACATTTAGTAAAAGTGTGTGTTTTAGTGTAAAGCAGGAATTTTCATTTTTTTTAAAGCTGCAGAGCCCTTTTTGAAGGGAAAGTTTCTCATGGAGCCCCAAGAAACTTTTGGACATAAGGGCCACATTGCATTTTAAAATTTGACAGATGGGCTGGGCCAGTGGCCAGTGGCCATCCAGTCCAACCTCCTGCAGGAAAAGCACAGTCAAAGCACCCCCAACAGATGGCCATCCACCCTTTGAACTAATAATAATAATAGTAGGAGCAACCCAGAGGTCATCCAGTCCAACCTCCTTCTGCTGTGCAGGAAAAGCACAGCCAAAGCGGCATCAGGGAGGCCTTGCAGACCGCAGTGGTGGTGGCTGCAGCCACTTCAGGCTATGCTGGGGAGGTCCTGTATGCCTTGCTGGTAGCAGCGGGGCTCCACAGTCTGCAAGCTTCCTAGGAGCACGGAAGTGGAGGGCATGGGTCCTCAGAGTCTCTGACTGTGCATTGCAAAGCCCTAAGGGCTCTGTGGAGCACAGTTAGAGAACTGCTGGCATAGAGAACTGCAAGGTTCTCCTGGAAAAATATGGAACTATGCTTATGAAATCACTTGATATATATTGTGAGTTTAAAGCATCATCTGAGGTTTTCTTGTAAGTTCTTTGAACTATTATTGATTATTCTTTTCAATTGTACAGGAGCTAACAGCAAGATTTATTCTCGCTCAGCTGGAAAACAAAAACATTTATTTACACAGAGCAATGCAGAACAACCTAGAAGTGCAGACAATCCTCTCCCATAAACGAAAGTGTGCTCAGTGTGGCTCTAGTTTTCTGGGCATGTGGCTAGAATGTGTGAAATTTCTGGATGTAAAACAGGTAATTTTATGTAATAATGTATTATTCTTATTTATTAGATATATCAGATTTGTTACTCTTATTTGAATCATGGGAATTGTAGTTTTACAAGGTCTTTTCCAAATAGTGCTGATGCCTCACTTAGCTACAGTTCCTTTGATTCCATAACAGTGAGTCATGGCAGTTGAAGTGGTGTGAAACTGCATTAATTCTACTGTATAGATGATCCATAAGTCACAGATCATTTAGTTTGTCACCACTTTCTGAACCTGTCTTTGAGAAGATGTGAGATGTTGATATCTGGCTACAGGCAGATTTAAAATAAGAAAGGCTTTTTCTTTAAAGTTGGAGTAACTGCAAATCTTGCTAACCTATACTACTACATGCTATTAATTTATATAATTCCACATCTAAACAAATGGATAAAATATATGAAGGTAGAATTGCTGGATTAGATAATAAATTCATATAATCCAGCATGAGTTTCCCTCAGTAGTTAGGTAAAGGTAAAGGTAGTCCCCTGACATTAAGTCCAGTCATGTCTGACTCTGGGGTGTGGTGCTCATCTCCATTTCTAGGCCGAAGAGCCAGCGTTGTCCGTAGACACCTCCAAGGTCATGTGGCTGGCATGACTGCATGGAGCGCCGTTACCTTCCCGCCGGAGCGGTACCTATTGATCTACTCACATTTGCATGTTTTCGAACTGCTAGGTTGGCAGAAGCTAGGGCTGACAGCGAAAGCTCACGCCGCTCCTCGGAATTGAACCTGCGACCTTTTGATCAACAAGCTCAGCAGCTTAGTGCTTTAACCCACTGCGCCACCGGGGGCCCCTCAGTAGTTATCTTTCTCCTAATTGTATTCTCACAATTTCTTCCATTTTCTGCTATAATTTCCATTAATCTAGTTTCTCAATTTAGTTTATTTATTTGTACTCTTTGTTCTTTTTCTTTTCACTCAGTTTAAGTTAGATTGTTTTTGGTGACCAAATCCTTAGTTTCTAATGTTACTGAGAAGTAAAGGGCCTTGGATTCCACTGGCTGACTCATCTTTTTTTTTCTTCATTTTTTGTTTCTTTTAGTTCTGCAATGTTTAATTTCTCCCTAGTTCCTCTTAAAATTATAACTGTGGAGAGTATATTATGTGTTACCTAATGAACTTCCAGCTCTGCATGAAATGATGTAATGAAAAATTGCCTTTGAAAAAGAGATGAAGGAGTAGGTGTTCACTCCAGAAATGTTTGACTTAGAGGATTCATATTTGGAGGCTCTGTTTCAAACAGTGTTGTCCATAGGTCCTAATTTTGTTTCCATTACAAAAATTTTGGTTATTTGAATGGTATTGGTTCAGATATGGCAAAAACATGGTTTGGTTTTATATCTGAATCATCCCTGTCTCTGAGTGTGGTATAAACAAGTCCGTACCTCTCACTGCCTATGCCACATGTTGGTATCAGGATGTGGAAGCAAGTATTTTATTATCAAGTAGAGAGTTGTCATGAAGAAGACACACAACTTACATAATTTTTGCTATTTCTTTTCACCCTACCTCCATACAGATGCATTGAGGGCAGAAGATTATGGAACCTCAGTCTGTATAAAAAATTGCTACTATTGCATTATATTTCTCTCGTTATTTCTCCTGGAAAGGTCTCTGAAAGGACAAGTGCATTATGCCCTTTCTAGAGACTTAAGCAAAAGTGGCAAGTCTGACTCTGTTTTGTAACACCTCATCAACAGCACATGATATCTAGATTTTCGGTTTCACTGTTCTGCTCTTCCAATTATTAAGTTTGACTATCATCCAATATAATACTTTCCTAGGACTACTCTGGCCCATTTCCCCACCAGATTATGTAGTGTTGAATTGTGCTTCACAGGTGCAGAATGCCTATTGCCTTGCCATGTAGTGATAAACTTCTTTAAAGCTGTGTTATAGCTGTGGCTCCAAAATAAACACTTTTATTTTTAAAAAATCCCAGCCAACATTTTCTTGTTCATTTTGTTTAAGCAAATCTGAATGTTAGCGGGGAGTTGACTGTACAGGCAGTTTCTGAGAGACAAACATCTGACTTACAAACGACTCATAGCTAAGAACTTTTTTGTGTGTCAGGAGTGACTTGAGAAACTGCGAGTCGCTTCTGATGTGAGAGAAGTGGCCATCTGCAAGGACATTACCCAGGAGATGCCCGGATGTTTGATGTTGTACCATCCTTGTGAGAGGAGGCTTCTCTCATGTCCCTGCATGGGCAGTTGCGTCTGACAGAGGGAGTTCAACCTGCTCTCCCGGAGCTCGTTATGGCTTCTGGGAGTTTGAGGCCCAAACAGCTGGAGGGCCACAGTTTGAGGATGTCTGCTTTAACCCATTTTTGCCACCTGGGGCTCCTCATCAGAACGGGGATGAGACAACAGGAAGTGAGAGAAATCTATCCCTTGAAAGGGAAATCCACTGTTGAAAGAGTCATCATCGGGAAAAGGTGCCTCGACTGAAGCTTTATCACTAACCCTTGTTTCTACATCAAGCCATTTTTTTCAATATCCAATTATCACAGGGACAGAAAATGAGGTGAAATCTTCTGAACAGGGGTACAGACACCAAAACAAACTCCACAAGGGTGTTAACCCTTCCCTATGCTATCCAGAGCTTTTATATATATTTGGCTGGACTTACACTTAAAAGATCTACCTCAATTAAACATACAAATTCAACTTAACAATCTTACAGAACCTACCTTGTTTGTAACTTGGGGACTGCCTGTATTGAGTATTATGGGAGGAGTTCACAATTAATCCTCAGTTTATATCTAACCAGCAGGTATACATAGGAGCATACTCTGTAAAGTGCTGTAACCCTGATGCAATGCATTTTTTTCTTTTTCTTTTAAAAAGCAAATGAAGACTAGCAGAAACTTGGAGCTCTTACCCGTCAGGGCATTTCTGTGCTCATACAAGTGCTTTAACCACCGTGACCACGGACTCTTTGGGATTGCTGTGCTCTAGACCAAGCAGTCGACTCAGAACTTCAACAAGATCTGATTATTATGAGAACTTAAGCTGAACTTACCATTTGGTGCAATGTCAATATCACTTTAAAATACACAATTGTTTTGGAACAGTGGTTTCAGAGAGGTGATCTAGTTGTGGGCAGGAATTATGCCTTACAGCTGTGCAGAGCTAGCAGTGTGCTTTGGCAGGCATGACTCTGCTTCTGAAAATGGATAACTCAAGTAATGGCATTGTTCAGCAGTGAGGTAAAGTTTTATAAACTAACTAACCTGGGTTACTGTGGTTTCTTTGGCTGCTATGTTACGATGCATGCTGTACCCAAATGTGTAATTCTGATAAGTATTTTCTCTTCATCTCCTGAAAAACTAGGGTCTGAGCCTAAAAGTGCAAAAGAGTATGGTGATTACGTAGTCCTTGTTTTCCATTATAAATCCTGTTTTCCAAAAGTTTATAACTTGGCTTTAACACTTGGCATGCAGAATTTTAAATGCAGGAGAAAATGTGCTGGAGTGTTTAAAAAGAAAAAGAAAAGAAAGGCAAGATGGCACACATTAAAAAGAATTTCTTTGCTCGTAGGAGCTTTAATTACAAAAGGTTTTTGTGTTATGAGAAACTGTGGAAAAGACACATTCTTCAGTGAAGAAAGCAGCTATATAGGATGCTTGTATATCTACTTTATTTTAAACTTTTGTTACCTAAGATTCCTTTCCTTGTTTTCTGGGGTATTTTGAATTCAGTGCATTCTCATCTCACTTACATTAACCCGCTACTGAAAAGAGGGCTGTTACTTAAAAGTAATTCTTAATTACAAACATGTAGCTTCCTTCAGTGTTTACATATAGGGACCATATAAACATTTAGACAGAATAAGTCTTATTTCAGTTTAGAATAATAGGTAGGATAATGTGATTTCCGAACGTACTAATGCTCTATATGTAATAATCTATTTAATTAACAGTGGGTTTTCAAATGCAATGCAAATGATATGTAACTTAAACCATATATGAATAACACACAGCTAGATCTAAATATATTGTAAATGTTTAGATCAAATTTTCCCTCAATCAATGTTGTAAACAAAACTAAAAGGTAAAATATAAGCAGCAGCAAAGGACTCAGCACTGCTTGTTTGCCTTTCTTATGGTGGGGCAGAAACCCCATGCCAGTTGCCCCGATCTCTTTATAAGAAAAGGATACAAGTTTAATAAAGTGGTAATTAACTACAGTTGCTCATCAAGTCGTATAAGCGGAATAAAGTTAGAACACTATTTTCTTGAAAATACTATAGAATCAAAACATGTATGATCCTTGCTTACAATACACTATGGTTAGTGTTGAATAGGAATTGGATTATATGGTCAGTGTAAACCCATATAATGCAGTTCAGTTAAATTGCACAATATGGTTCTACACTGACCCATGTGTAGTTTAAATTCAGTCCTGTGATACTGCTCTGCTAATCATTAGGCCTGTGCGGTTTCGTTCGTTAATTTTGTAATTCGTTATTAATTCGTTATTTTTAGCATTTCCGAAGCGATATCAAAACACATTTTCAAACCCGGAAGGGTTTAAAAATATCGAACCGGCAACCCCCATAGATTTAACGAGCTTCCGCTCGTTTCGTTAATGGGATGGAGGCTGCTGGTGCCTGGGAGCCAATCCGGCGCTCCCAAGCACCCAAGCAGTGCACCGTGGCTGTTTCTGATTGGCCGGCGAGCCTTTTGAAAGCGGCTCCGCGTGGCCGTACAGCTCATTGCTGCAGAGGGCGAGGGAGAGAGAAGAGGTCCGGGAGGGTTTGCATTGGGTTGGCTTGGCTTGGCTTGCAACTGGATTGGATTCATTCCTTGCTCATTCCTTGCTTGGATTCATTCCTTGCTGCTGTGCTTAGTGCTGCTTAATTATATTCCTTGCTTGGATTCATTACTTCCTTCGGTTTTTGTGAATTTGTTTGTTAATTTTCCATTTTTAAATATTTTTTAATATTATTTTTAATATTATTTTAATTATTATTTTTTAATATTATTTTAATTATTATTAAATATTATTATTTAATATTATTTTAATGTTGCTGTGTGCTCTCATTTGCTGTCTCCTGCCTGTGTTTGGTCCACATCAGGGCCATTTTTTGGTTCAGTTTCCATTTTTGAATATTTTTTAATATTATTTTTAATATTATTTTAATATTATTCTTAAAAAATACAAAAAATATTCTAAAAAAGAAAAGACTCTTCTGTTGCTGTGTGCTCTCATTTGCTGTCTCCTGCCTGTGTTTGGTCCACATCAGGGCCATTTTTTGGTTCAGTTTCCATTTTTGAATATTTTTTAATATTATTTTTTAATATTATTTTAATATTATTCTTAAAAAATACAAAAAATATTCTAAAAAAGAAAAGACTCTTCTGTTGCTGTGTGCTCTCATTTGCTGTCTCCTGCCTGTGTTAGCTCTACATCAGGGCCAGTTTTTGGTTAATTTTCCATTTCTGAATATTTTCTAAAAATACCTGCCTTTTATTCTTAAAAATACAAAAAATATTCTAAAAAAATAAAAGAGTCTTCGGTGGCTGTGTGTGCGTTTGTCATTTGTGTAGTTCCAACCAGTGCGCTCCTTTTGCCAACACAAAGTGCTATAATACAGTGCTTGCTCATCATTTGTGTAGTTCCAACCAGTGCGCTCCTTTTGCCAACACAAAGTGCTACATACACTGCTCGCTCATCATTTGTGTAGTTCCAACCAGTGCGCTCCTTTTGCCAACCCAAAATATTTAATAACGAAGTTATTAATAACGAAGTTTTTAATAACGAAGTTTCGGAAGTCGCTTTTGCGCATGCGCAAAGCGCCCCCCCGCTTTAACGAATCGATTCGTTATAACCTTAACAAATCGACCCCCGCGCCAATAACGAAGCTTTGGAAGTGTTTTTGCGCATGTGCGGGGGTCCGCCATCTTAACGAATCGATTCGTTAATATTTACGAAATTTCGTAAATACCGAAACTTTTTTGGGGGGAAAATTTTGTAATTATTTTAAATATCGAAACAAAAAAACACCCCAATTACAAATCGATTTTAGAACCAAATTTTTTCTTGATCAACCAGGCCTACTAATCATGTACTGAGAACACCCTATCTGTTAGTTTTATATACAGTAGAGTCTCACCTGTTGAACATAAACAGGCCGGCAGAACATTGGATTAGCGAAAAAGTTGCATTATAAGGAGGGATTAAGGAACAGCCTATTAAACATCTAATTCCATTATGATTTTACAAATTAAGCACCAAAACATCATGTTTTACAACAAATTGACCGAAAAAGCACTTCAATACACAGTAACATTATGTAGTAATTACTGTATTTATGAATTTAGCACCAAAACACCGCAATGTATTGAAATAGCTGTGGATCCAGGTGGGAGACAGACTGTGTTGGACATCACAGAATGTTGGATGACCCATGGTTGGATAAGTGAGAGACTACTGTATTCAATATGTATTGACATTGTTTCTACTTTACCTGGATGTCTATCACTCAACACAGTTAAAACCGAAGTAGAAAGAAACTTATTTCAGGTTTCTTTGAAGAATTTTCTGAAGCAAATGTGGAACTTCAAGTTAAGAAGTAAATATTCCACATTTTGGAACTTTCAATAATATTTAATTTTACCTAGAGGTATTTGGTGGTAGCAAATATATAACAGGTTGACCTTCTTAAGAGAACTCATCATGTCCATTTTAATTCCAGTAGGGATATGTAACTGTCTCTCTCTCTCTCTCTCTTTCTGTTTTAATCCTTACTTCTGTAGTAGACCAGAACCAACTTTAGAAGCACTTTCATACCCATTTATGGTTGCTCAAGTTTTGCAGTGGCTTTTTAATATAATCTTTATTTTAAGAAAAGAAACTTAGAAAATGACATTCGAAATGTAACAAATATACTAGCCAAATATTAAAAATGAATGAAACACTGTTATAAGAAGTTTTCATTAGAAACTAAGTATATTAGTCCTCTTGCTGAACAATTTTATTTTTATGCAGAATTCAGTATCTGTAGGCTTGATCTATAATTGCCAGTAAAATATATTATGCATAATTATGAGAGAAATAACTTGTGCAGTAGCAGTGAGAATGCTGTTTTGAAATAATTAAGCAAATGCTATTTAAGGTAAGTTATTTTCTGCCCAGAGGACTGAAAGATTTGAAAGATAATTCACAAGCAGCTACCAATGGTGTGGACTAGTGTAATCTAAGATATGTCATCATCATTTTCTATTCGTTTGTGAAATCATTAAAGCTTTTACACACACACACACCTCTTACAAAAGTCAAAACATCTGTATGATCAGAATATTTGAGGCCAGTACAGACTAACTTTAATGGCATGCTGTAATAGTTTCTGCACACAACTGTGTTAATTAGGATGCCCTGGAGACATTTGTTTTTACATTTTACGCTAGTTCTACACTGATAATATAATGCAGTTCAATTCAGTTCAAACTGCATCAGATGGTGGGCGAAGATCTTGTGTTTTGAAATGGTCTGTGTATGTTTCTAAGCCTGCTGGCAAGATTTGTTTGTAGGTTTGAGCATCTGAATGCAATATCCTTTGTTTTCTTGTCYTAGTCTACTGTGAATCGCACATATGGTATTCCTGCGCCTGTGCAGGCCCAGTTTCGGAACCTTCTAGAAATTAAAAGAACAATCTGACCCCTCCTACCCCCTCCCTCCCCCCTCTCGGGTATATAAGGCTCCTGGGCGGAGCCCACCACCAGTTCTCTTTTTTCCGCCAGACAGTAGGCACAGTTAGAGAACCTTTACTTATATTCCTTGCTTGTTATCGACTTTTGGACTGAACTTGGACTTTTCTAAAATCTGTACCCCTGACAACGGACTGCATAACGACGATTCTTTGCCTCCCGGACTGAACAAGGTATCATGGCCACTTCTTCTTTTAAGAAATGCTCTGTGTGCCCAAACGTCTTGCCAGACAACGACGGGCACGACCTCTGCTTGGCCTGCCTGGGCGAGGGTCACCTCTCCCAGGCCTGCACCATTTGCGRGGCCTTTACGCCGCAAACGCGCAAGAACCGGGAGGCGCGCCTAAAAGCGGCGCTTTATGAGCGGGCCCTGATGCCATCTGTGCCCTGTGGGGCGCCTAGGCCCCCCACCGCCCCGARGACTACCAAAGTGGCAGCGAGTGGCCCTCCCAAGAAGAAGGCCAAAAAGAAGGATCAAGATGGCCGCTCCGTGGGGAGCTTAGCAAAGTCCGCCTCTAAAAAGGCGGGAAGGCCTGCGAATGCTGTCTCTTCTTCAGCCTTACCTCCTTCTGCCGAGCCCGTGTCCTCGCCTCCGTCGGGAGGCCTGCAACTTCGTGAGGATGCCTCCCTCGCTGGCGCGCATGCGCGCTCCTCGGGATCGACGCAAGGGACGGGCCCGATGCCGTCGACGCCGCCCCTCCCTTCACCGATCCAGGCATCGACGTCGCTCCAAAGAGGGGCAGGGCCTGGAACAGCGTCCCCGGGCGCGCTCCCGGCGGTGCTCCCA